TGAATCGAACACCGTGCGACGCCGAGCAACAGCAGAGCCGGTTCGCGTTGCAGTGGCAGTTGTGGGTGCACAAACACCCTTATAGCCCTTAAAAATACCACGGAGACCAGTGTTGGTTTGACTTTAGTGAAAGTGTGTATAAAAGCAAAATTTTTTCTTAGTATGGTAACCTCAAGTACCATGTATTATTTTTTTACCAAAGCGTGATTGACGTCGCCTCTCTTAAATTACCTTTATGTTTTTACTAAGTTTCCAATTCTAAATAGCTGGCTGACGTAAAGGATTAATAGCTCTAGTTTTCATTTGCTACGTATGTAATAATATATACAAGATTTTCACTGTGCAAGAATCAACCACTAAGTGTTTGAAAGAACAATAACTACAACACCTATTAACTGAGAAACCTTTCATAAGGACTTTGATTTGATATTCAGTTATAAAGGCCATACCTACCATATTTGAGAACTTTGTACGTTTGAAACCTTAAAAGGATGTCGAGTGTCAACCTGTTTGGTATAATTATTTTATTTTGAACAACTGTACACAAGTCAGTCCTAAAAATTAAAAAATAGGAATTTTTGCTGACTGCTGGTATAAAAATCTTGATTAGAAGAACAAAAGCTTAATTTTATTAAATGCTTCAAATACATTCAGCTTCAATAAAAAAAATCCTAAGTTATTTACGAAGCAATTAAATTTTGAAGCATAAACTCTTTAGCAGGATTTTTCATGCATTATTCATTTGCAAGAACAATATCAAAATTCCCCGTTTATTATCTTCTGCGCAACAACTAATTAATTATCAATGCAAAAGAATGTATAAGGCCATTTTTGAAAAAAAAATCTTTGTAATATAACGAAAAATTATGAAGCCTTTTTATAAGGTTTACTTTTAAGATGTTCACTGTTTGCGATATTTACTTAAACTAATTATTATAATTGATGTTGTGTTTTGAAAGTATATAGGTATTACGAATATGTGATATTAAAGTAAGATATTTCTTTAATCAAACAAAAATATTGTAAATACCAGGATTAAATTTTACTAAGTTGCCACGTGTTTTTTTTTCTTTGCGTCACTCTATTTATAAAATGAAAAACATGAAATATCGCGATATTTACGAGTACGAGTTCCACCGTGGCATCAGTGCAGCAGAAACGGCTCTAAGGATTAATGTCGCTGAAGGAAAACACAGTGCGTTTTTGGTTCAAATGGTTTTGTTCTGGAAATTTCGACCTGCAGAACAAGCCCTGTGGACGGCCGGAGACCAAAGTTGATAACGAAGAATGGAAGGCTATTGTGGAAGCTGATCCATCGCAAACTACATCTGAGTTAGCTGCAGGCTGCGGTGTTAGTGAAAAACTGTCTTAATAGACTTGAAGCACATTGGGAAGGTGAAAAAGCTTGAAAGGCGGGTACCTCACGAACTGAGTGAAGCAAATCGACAAACGCGCGTCGACTGCAGCGTTACTTTACTCAACCGGCACAATCATTAAGGGATTTTCAATCGAATCATTAGCTGATGAAAAGTGGATCTTGTACGATAATCATGCTCATCGCAATGGCTGAACCCAGCCGAAACAGCGAAATCGTGCCCGTGCCAAGCGAAAATTGACTCCGAAAAAGTTACTTTTTTTTATGTAATAGGAGGCAAACGGGCAGGAGGCTCACCTGATGTTAAGTGATACCGCCGCCCATGGACACTCCCAATGCCAGAAGGCTCGCAAGTGCGTTGCCGGCCTTTCTACTTGTGACCATTTGGTAGACTAGTGCTGGGGTCGTTCACTATAACTTTCTTTAATGTGGCCAGACCATTATAGCAGATGTCTATTGCCAGCAACTGCAAATCATGATGGAAAAGCTAGCTGCCAAACAACCAAGGCCGTCAATCCCTCTAGGCCACTGCTGCTTCACGACAACGCTAGACCACACTGCACAACAGACTTCTACCAAATTAGAGGAATGGATCTTTAATTGGAATGTCTAAGACATCCAGAATAGTCCATCCCACAGATTACAATTTTTTTCAAAATTTGGATAACTTCTTGCAAGGTAAAAAATTAACTCTGATGGGGCAGTCAAAACTGCCTTCAAAGATTTTATTGATAAGTTAATGGATCCATCAACTGTCTATAAGATGGCAAGTGCATAGATAGCAATGGTACACACTTAGATTAATGAAATATATTGTATTTAAAAAAAATCTACCTATTGTTCCTCCTATACAAAACGCCAATTTCATATGTAAGGATCTAATATTATAACGATAGAACATTTTTTTATGTTATTTTCATTTTCTGTTACAACAATTAATACACAAAATATCTTTCTTGTTTCTCACATTTATAAAACAGTATTTTATAAGAATGCAAAAGTTTTATATTGAATTTCAGTAGTACAGTGATAAATGTAATGTAATGCCTCTGGTAAATTCATGTTTCAATATCATTAAGACTATTTAACATAAATTATTTGACTAAAAACAACATTCAATTGACATTAAAGAGCAAATTTAAATTTATTCCAGTTTCTAAATTTATTTTAGTCGTAAAACTTTAGTAATGAATGGTCAATGGAAACGGTTGCTTATGCATGCAAGACCCAAAAATAAATAATCATAGGTATACCTTACACAAGAGGACTGATTTAAACAACATTTAGGAGAACACTGTTTATTCTCAATAAAACAGAATATTATAATTTTTCACTAGCTTAAGTTAAAAAATGTAATCAATTAATGGTTTAGTAAATAATAAACTTCAATAACATTACTTTTAAATATTCTTGAGGCTTTTTATTGCTATGTTCTCTGTTAGGTACAATATTAATCCAGTCTGTTAGCTTTTTTCCAATTTAAGTAGCACTTTACAAAATAGCATTCAAAATTTTTTTTTGGAAATTAAGGTTGTTGTTCTGATACACAAACCTTTAATTCTACAAATTTACAGGGGTCTATGATAACTTTTTTGCTTTTTGATATAGTGTGTCCACAACTTTGCTCATGTGATGAATGGTTTCCAAGACTGTTTCATATGTTTTCTCCAGGGGGAATTCATCAAACACAATCAGAACACCCTCTCCTTGGTCTAAAATTCCATTAAGCTTTTTATCAAGGATCATTTGAGACAATTTTTTCTCTACTTGTACTATGGGTAAGCGGATACAACGTGCAACATGATCAACTTGGACACGCATGTAAGGCTCCACGATACGACAAAGATTTTGTTCCAACATGGTATCATAAAGGGCTCCAAGGTGTGCACGGACAACAGCATCTTCTTCTAACTCCGGTTTGTAAGTCTTTAAGGCAGCCTGGAAGTCAGCAAGTGATCTCTTGAAAGAAGCAGTAGCAACTGCACGCATTGCTTCAATTTCCTTTCCTGCATATTTGAGAGCAGCTTTGCTACTACTTACAGTACCAACTTCATCAGCTTGATTCAGCATAATCTTTGACAACAACATATATTTCAGTGCTGTAAGGGCCTTGGGGCTATCAGCTCCATCATAACCTTCAAATGCCTCATAAAAATAAGAATATGCTGTTTTGAAATCGCGCTCATCAGCAGCATGTAGGATACCTGATTGAAGATCTAATGCTGCCTGCATTTTTGGCGGGCAATAGATAGCATTGGCCGTTGTTCGTGCCGACGTCAAAGAAGCTCGAGCTTTAGGCAAGTTACTTAGTGCATGGAACGTCTTACTCTCAAAAAGTAGTACTTCGAGAAGCAAATTCTTGTCATCTAACTTCTTAAGCTCTTTCAACAATGCAGTGGCTAAATCCAAAGCGTCTGTGTACATACCAGTATCAAAATACAGCGCGATTAGTCGCGCCTCCAAGGACTGTCGTAGAAAGGTTCTGCGTTCCTCCTTTGCCCATTCTATACATTCTTTACATAGCTGCACTTCAATACCAATACCTGCTTCTAAATCCAAGAAAAAATCTACTAAAGAGCGGACCAGTTTCGCAGCTTTGGCCTTACTAATAAGGCTTAGAAAAGGCCTCGTTGCTTTGATCAGTTCTGCCAACTCTTTAGCCTTTCCTTCTTTCTTGTATTTTTCACCAAGATTCAAAATTCCTTGTTCTTTAGCCCTTATGTTTTCTTCGTCATCTTCGGGTACCTCACCTGTGCTAACCATTTTGTCGGTCATGCGGACGTCTTCGTCTCTGTTCGACGAGGATACGCGTGACCTCTCGAATAACATTGCTCCGGCCATTATGTGTATATTTATCACTAAAAACGTATTTATATGATGACACAACAACAGCTACACTTTTTCTTTGTAATTTTGTATATTCGCAAAGTCATCGACGACCTTTTCGGAAACAAATCGTAGACGCGTACGGAGTTGCCATATCAAACATAAATCACACGAATAATTTTGTTTATTTTCTACCAAAATTTAAAAAAATGCAATGTTTTTGAAATTATGGCAGCATATAAGAACCCTCTTTTAACTAGAACTAAATTATTATTTGAAAACAGTTTACTGTTATAATAATTGTTAACGATCCCAATATACGAACTTTTTTTATAAAGAAAAAGAAGTAAAAGTATAGACTACCAGTGTGAATCTACCATAAATTATATGGGCAATTTTGAGTTACAATTTTTTATTGGTTTTATGCTGCGTAATTATTTCGTGAATTAAATACGTAGACCTGTAAAAATGAATGAACAACGAAAAATAAAAGTTTTCATGGATAAAGACGCTAGTGACAATTTTCTCTTTGATATTTCGAAAATATTGATGCAGTTTTATGAAACGCCAGTAATTTTTTTCACCAAGAATGATTACTCTGACAAAATATTTAATACTTTATGTTCTTTGCGGTCTGCTTTGCAAGGTGAATCAGATTCTCAGATTGTTGATATAATTGTTGATTTTCATTTAAATTGGCTTCATGCTATTAATGACATAGATCAATTTTACAAACGATTAAATGATCTTCCTAGAGAAGAGGTTTTTCAGGCGATAAGTTACACAATAGATGCTCTCGGGTTTCGTCTTAACTATTATCACAAATATATGAATAAATGGAAACCATCTTTAACAAATGACCTACAGGCTAATCTTAATGCTGATATGGAAATTGTGGAAGAAATGCATACAGAAATCACAAAAGTTCTCCTAGATAAACTAAAATGTTTCAGAAACTATTCTTCTGATATGGAGTTCAAAGTTAAGGTTTCCAGTGCTGTAGAAGAATTATTAAACTGGATTGATAAAATTACCGATAGTCTAGCATTTGAACTTAGCAAATATATCAATATCCATGTACCTCATCTTAGTGGTGATTTAACAAAAACTTTGCAACAAATTATTGATGACTTGCATAGTTCGAATTCAGAAAGTGCTCAACGGATGCTAGAACATTTAAAACAGAAAGGTAGAGAACTTGGTGCTATGATTCGGTCCACAACCAGCCACGACTTAGAAATATGTAAGGTGATTGAAAAGATAAATATTTTGGAAGACCGTATATCACGGTTAGAACTTGAACCTACATCAGCCGCAAGAATGGCTTTGGAAAAGAAAAGAGATTATTTGGAGAAAAGGTTGAGCATGCTTGATAGTTTGAAAACAACACTGAAAAGTATGCAGCAGCTAACCGAAGTACACTTAGAGTCTGTACCTGATGATGAGCTATGTGTCTGTAAAGATTTTTTTGAGTTTAGGATTTTCAATCACGATTTGCAACCAGAAGATCGTGAACATTTGGTTACCGAATTATGCTACCTTTGGGATTTAGCTGTTTTTGGGGAACGCAGTCATAAATCTTTTATTTCTATTTTAAGTGCAGCTGATATTAAAGAAGAATATACCGATGAATTAGGAACATTTTACATTGATGAACATAGTAGAAAAATATATAAATTACCAGATGATGATACTCTTTACCAACCAAATGAAAAAAATGAACTTGTTCCATTAAGTGATGATAGTGAACATGTCTTCTTCTATGATGAATGTGGAAGATATTTTAGGGACCCTAAAACCAGGCAGAGGGTCTATAAAGCCTATCAAACTGCTAGTGAGTACATGATGGATAATACAGGTATTTTATTGAAAGTGAAAGAAGAACGCGATGGGATAACTTACTATTATGATAACTGTGGTCGCTATTATATTAACAGTGAAGGAAAACACATTTACCGCGATGAAGACTCTGTCAGTGAATATGAAAATGATGGTTTTGGAAACCTTGTGCGTATCCGAAGTCATGCGGATATGTTTGAATTATGTCCAAGCGATGCTAATGTAACTGAAGATTTTAAATATTTAAAACTAAATGTTGGCAAAGCTTTACGGGAATGTATTTCTGATGTAATACTGCATCAACCAGCAGATCCCATTGAGTATTTATCAGCTCGCCTTGTTACATATAGAAAAAATATTGAACTACGCGAGAAGCGTGCTTGTGAAAAAGAGGAATTAGACATAGAGCGAGAAATAAGAATTGCTGAAGAACGTGCTGAGGCTGAACGAGCTGCAAGAGAAGCTGCACTACAGACTCAAGGTGGTAGTGAAGCTAGCTATGATTCGAATCTTTATAAATACAATTCAATGCATCCTGCTGATGCTGACTCATTTGTTCAAAGTTCACATTAGAGCGTTATGTATACCTATTTATAATAATGATATTTGTTTTTGCTCTATTATTTTAATTGATTTTGTCTGATTTGAAATTATTTATAAAAAAAGATATTAAAAGAGAAGAAATGGAGGTATTAATGGCTCTATTATCTTAAATTAACCCTGAGGGGAACCTTTTCGATTTTCCTTTTTTCCGACCTAATGGTAAGGATTTTCCGCCTGTCTAACAATATACTAGCCGGCCCGAAGGCTCCAGTAGCTATGGTCTATACCTAAATTCCTAGTTTTATGAATCATTAGCCGACGGATTCCCTACAATCCCTATTTTGCTTTTTTGTGTTTCAAAAAATATTATAAAAGTATGTTAAAAACATTTTTGTATATATTTATTAACAGAATATTATCTTCGGGTCCAAATTACGTTACAATAAAACAAAACTAAGCAATATTATTGTTCTACCGGAATCTCATTAAAAATAGGGAAATAAAAATTTGTTGTGGGAAATGCTGGGGAAATTGTATTAAATGATCTTGATACTGTTAAATTTTTGTCTTTAGTATTATTGAACATGAAGTCGGTATATTAGTTATTTGTATAAAGAAATGTTGTATATATCGGGTTCTTAAGATAGCAAAATATGTCATGAAATATAAACCAATCGTAAATGTACTTATTATATATCATTTCTATCGTACAAATAACCTAAAACTTCTTCAGAACTAGAAAATGATTCCAAGAACCGACTGCACTGTCTTCATATACTTGCTGGTGAAATAGCAATTTTCTTACAGGTTCATTCAACATTTTCGCGAATCGTCTGCACCAATTTGTGAGAAAGCTTCTTCTCTTAATAATTTTTCACTTCGATAGATTACAATCACCTTATAATAATACGTTAAATTGTAAGCAGTACGTTGAAGTTCAGAATCTTTCGACAGTTCCGCGAGATAGATTACAACCTAACGGTATTTACAATTTTACGGTGTCATGTACATTAACCATGAAGAAAGTGTTTTTAGAATAGCCCCTCGCCTCCAGAGCTCCAGTCCTCTCAAAACTGGAAACGTCGAACAGTTTATACGTACGGAATGATAACTAACATTATCCATAATAATTAATGAAGGTCTTGTTAGATTTGAAATTAGCTTCTCTGTTAACCATTTTGTAAAATTGTCTTATCATATCGTGTCACTTATATCGTGGTGGTAGTCAACAGATACATTTGTAAATTTGATTGTACAGGTACACGACAGACAGACAAGGATTTGGTACAAAGCCATTTTCTCAACCAGCGTTTACATTGTAATTTATTGAAAACAATATTTTTCGCTTGAGATTGAAGTGGCTTTTTCTACATTTTCACAAAAACAACAAATTTCAAGAAGATAATCAGTTAATCGCGAAATCTGAGCAGCGGTTGACACTTGACAGATCTCGTACTTTATTTTTGTTTTATACCATGAGACTCCGGTAGACTACAGGAGAAAAAAAATATTACCTGGATACCTAATTAAAAGTATGTCTTTTAAATTAATAAATTACGTTGGTTAAACTAAATTATCGGATATTTTTTACATGTGCAAACCCCCGGTGTTGGAGGTGTCCATTTAATTATAGGTGACCCACCTGCTCAGTTTTGTCCCATAAATATATTTTTATTTAATTACAATAAAAGTTTAGAGAGTAATATTTAATATAAATATTATTAATTGGTTCTGAGTTTAATATACTGTACTCAATATTCCAACTTTTCAAAATTTGTTAAATATCTAAGAATGTTCTACTAAAAACCATTGCAAATACAATTTCTTTCACGATTTATTATGTGTGGTAACAATTATTATAAAGTGACAACTGTTGTCATTTATGACTTGTCCGCCATATTGTGACTACCGAATTTGAGTTTTAATTTTATTTCATGTGCAGTGCTCGGGGATAGAACGACCCTTATTTTTTTAATAATAAGATTTCAGTTATAACGATAAGGCAATACAATCAAATCTTATGACAGTACTTAAATAAATGTAATTTATCGCTCGAAATGAGGTGATAGTAATGAAAAAACAGTGTCTTCAGTCTTGTGCCTACGTACTTCCTACAATGATTAAAGTTTTGGGGCAAGGCTCTTCTGTATTTTATGTAAATTAGCATGGATAAGGTTGGAGTGACGTATTCGTGGTTAAGTATAATCATTGTGAGAATTGTAGGAGTGCAGTCAAGTCCTATCATTCAAAAGTGGTGAACTTTACAACGTAAATAAACTTAATGGAAGTGAAGGTCTAGTTGAGCAACAGGATGCCACCAAGACCGCCTCCTCCACCTGGTCCTCCTCCACCTCCAGGACCTCCACCTCCTCCAATTTTTGGAGGTTCAAAAGCTTCAGGCTCAGCTGATGACCGCAATGCACTACTAAGTTCAATAAGACAAGGCGCAAAGTTAAAAAAGACTGTTACAGTGGATAAAAGTGGACCACATATTCCTGGTAAAGTGTCTAACAGTGTTCCCAATAATGCATCAATAGTTGGGAATGGAGTTAAAAGTAGTGGAATGTCAAATGGTGGTGCTATGCCGGGTTTAGGTGGACTTTTTGCAGGAGGCATGCCTAAATTAAGGCCTACTGGAAAAGGATTTACTAATAGTGGAAGTAAGTTTATTTATCTGGTAAATATATGCATATTATCAAAATCTCTGTAGCTTTCCTTTACCAAGGCAATATTATTACTTGAACAAGTATTTCAAATAATATAAATAACATTACTACTTTACTTTATCAATATTTATATTTTCACAATTTTGCTATTACATAGTTTTGTTTAAATGTATTTATTGTATGTACTTGTTAAGTACTTTGTTCACTTTCTTATCAATATAAACTGATTGGCTTATCTTTTGATAACTTTTATTAAAAGTATTCTTTACTTATTAATTCTTTTTCATAATGTAAAATTTTGCCTATTTGTGGATTAAGGGAAAAACATTAGTTTACTAATAGATACTTCTTTATTTATTTCAATAAACAAGAGATCATTGAATAACTATGGGATTAAAATAGAAGATTTCTTGTATGATTCTTATTACAATATGTGTCTTTTGTTAAGTTTTGTTGGAAGTACTGTAATTCCTATTTAAATAAGACATACAGGTTATAAAATAGACCTACCTACTAAAAATAAATGACATCAATTACTTATGGACATACATAATGCTGTTTCCGAAGTGTTTAATGTGTGGCTCCGAGTATTAAATTTTAGAAGTAAGAATTAATTAATTGTTTTAGGCACAACTCCAAATGGTCAAGTAAGCAGTGGTAGTTCATCGCCTCGTTTTCCACAACATAAGTCACCAGAAAAGTCAAGATCATTTGGATCCCCTGGAGGGAACTTAGTTGCAGCCCTTTCTGAAGCACTTGCATCACGAGAGTCATCAAAAGATGTTCGTGAGTCACCCAGAGAGCAGGCACCATCTAGACCAGGTGTTAGGAGGCAGCCCAGTGAGGCTAAAACTAGAGGACCTCCACCAGATCCCCCGGTGCAAAAGAACCCCATGCCTTTGGTGAGATATTTTCTCTATAATCATCAAGTTCAATATGATTTACTTCTTAAAAAAGCAATGTATTGTTGAAATTTTAAAGAAATTTCTTTAAGTTAGGTAATAACCTAATAATCCCAGCTTTATTAAAAATTATAAGCCACAGAAGGCTAACTTTCCCAAAGAAAAATTATCATGGAAACATATATAGAAATCTAAGTCCAATACCTTTGTGTTAGAGTTGTAGCACCACTTTTTTTTTATTCATAAAAGTGTAAGAGGCCTATTAGTTGATCAGTTTTCTAATATATTTAACAAAGAATTCTCATTAACAATCCTGATTATTTAAAAAAATTCTTAATTATTGAAATAACATTATTTTCATTAATGTGCACAATATTAACATGATCCATGCATTACATAATTGTTTGAATGTGAAGTAATTATTGACGTATTATTCATTAAGTTGACTAAGTGCACCCATAACTATGATGACTCATACTTTGGCTAGATTTTCCATCTATACCAAGACATAATGTCTTTTTTGACTGAACTAAACTTTGTATTGCCTTAGTAGTAATGCAAAATAAACGGTGCAAAGTAAACATCCTATGTTAGCGTTTTTTTTATAATTCACTATTTTATAATAAGACGGAAGCATATAAACTATTCGGTAAGTATTATCTTGACCGTGAGTTAAAAAAGGGCGTTGTCTTTCAAAAAGTGAGTCCGCTAAAGCCCATAACGATGGCGTTATAGGTTTCCAGGAATCATGTATAACTAAATATCCACCCCACCAATGATTTTTTCTAAAAACAGAATAGAGATAATAAACAAAAGCCCACACGTACGAGCTTAATAGTTTCATAGGATTAAATTGTTATTGTATCGAGTGAGCTTCCCTTTGTATGAGAACGATTAACCTAGATTAATTATTTGTCGGGTTTAATTTGTCTGAGGACGCCAGTAATGTTTAAAAACGTAACCTACTTTTCGCTCTTTAGACTGAATAGAATTACCGAGTAATAATATTAAATTAATTTTTAACGAAACAAAATCTGGACAATGGGTTGTACGTAAATAAAATAATTTAAGTCCGATTTAAAAGCAACAATATAAATGTTATATTTTACGTCTGCCTTAGTGGAAAAGCCACATATCATAAAACCTGTATTGCCAGGGCTCGTTTACCAGCTAGCAAAGATTGTTTTTGATGATTCAGGTGGACACCTATCTATAAAAATATAAATAATCTAATATATAGAAATTAAAAGTGAACAAGATTATCTCATATGTTTGTGCACGCATGAGTGTGCTGTTAAAATAATCAAGGCGTGTGGTAAAATAGCCGTCCAAATATCGCATGTGGGTGGGGTTTGTTTTGTAATAAGATTATTTATATTCTGATAATGTTAGCTGCGCTTGCGATCGTTTCGCAACGCACGTGTGCGTATAGTTCAAATTGATTTTGAATTTGAGAAATCACGTAATTAACCTTGGGGCATACCCCTTGACTTTTATGTAGCTGACTGTTACCTATTTCGTTAAATTATATGAACAATTATAAGTGTTAAGAAATTGATACAGAACAGAGCGATAAATATCAAATGTTCTAAACGGGCCATGTTTTGCTGCAATTGATGGCTGCAACACTGTGGCCGGCAACATTGCAAACATCAGCCACACTATGCAATATTGCAGTAATGTCCCGGCCATATAGCCAAACATGTTTTGTATAGCCACATATGGCCGATGTTGCCCCGATGGGTGGCCGGACGATCGCTAGGCTATCGAATTCAACTGCAATATTGCACAGCCAGTTCTATTGTTGTTTCAGTCACTCTCTTTGTTATGGCACAGTGTATCCTTTTCTACGCGACATGAGTTTGCTGGGGAGTGTGCCTGTTGCTATATTCTGTTTTGCGATCAGCTGTATTTGACGTTAGATTACTACGTAAAAATGACTGCTTTTGACATTCTAGTTCTTGAATAATTTATTATCAAGACTTATTTCTAGACTCAAATTGTCTACAGTTTCACGCCTATTTAAGTAAGGTCGAATCCACAATCTCTTCTTTTTCTGTTTTTTTTAAAACAATATAAGCTGCGACAAGTGTGATTTCGTCAGCCATTATTGCCGGTTTGTGTAGCCCGTTTAGGGGTCTGCATCATGGGCCATATATTGCAGACATATTGCACACATTGCCCAGCCATAGATTGTTCGACCAAGTCATAAATATTTTACAACAGTGCAGCCATCAATTGCAGCAAAACATGGCACGTTTAGACGCCATTACATATAGTGTTCAATTTATGTGTGCACCTTAAACCTTGCACTAAAGAAAAACAAATATTATTTTACGTTGTATCTATATTTATTATGTTCGTGGCCAAAAACAGTTGATTTTGAAACTTCACTCGTAGACCGCTGGAGCCACTCCAATTATCGTTATGCTCGTTAGTTCGTGTCTCTTACAGTTTTTTGATCGTGATGTATAATTTTTTTTTTAAATACTTATCGCGATAATTTAAACCCTAATCATAACTGGAAAGTTAAACCATGCTTAATAAATTTCGATAAAATCGTTTCTGGATGTATTCTCAAATATTAGTTACGTAAGTTTTTAAAATTGAATTGTACAAAAATTTCACATCGCCCAATGATTTATTAGATTTAAATGTATTTGATAACAGGACTCCCTGATATCCAAGCTTTTGTTTTTAGGAATTCATAACTGTAGCCATAAAAACTAAAAAGCCGAGGAGTTCGAATTCATAAATATGGATTGAAAATGGGAACTGTACTGTTATTGTTACACATGTAGTAATAATTCTAATTACCGCTATCATGTTTTTCACAATGTCGATTTAATACAACTGATAAAGAGGCTTCTAGTCTATCAAGTTTATCAAACGGTTGTTATAAAATATTATCGGGGTTTTATCACATATATGAAGGTATTTAAAAAAATCCGTTCGTATATTTTCAATTTAAATAGAACCTTGTCGAAGAACAAAGTTGTTATGTAAGAATTGAAAACCTAAAATATCTTGAATAAACAATTTCAATACTAAAACTGGAACAGCCCTTAAGTCTAGACTCGACACGGAATTATTGATGTAGATGTTGCACCGTCTTAAACTTGAAAAGGTTTTGCATAAGATGATATTGATTTCAAACGTTCTCGAACTTTTTATACTCCTATAAAACAACAGAGAGATTTCACATGCTTAGGGCAGGTTATATTGGGTAGTAGTTATCGTAGTTTTGACACAAAAACACAAATAGGAAACCATTTTTTTTTTGCAGAAAAACCGAAGAGGGCTTCTTCAATCACCGCACACACGCAATAATATTGTCAAATCAAGTTTGTCAATTTGTTTTAACAATATATGCCTCCGCATATTTCTCAATATTATTGCCAATATTTACTAATTTTAAAAGGCCAGTCACGAACTGATCCTTGATCTACGCGGAAGTATGGATAAAAAAAAAAATGTGTCATATTGTGTATGGCAATAAGCCTGTTAAATAAGAAACCGAGAACTAAAAAAAAACTATGGATAATTTTTTTATATATCACAAGTAAATTATCGAGTGCAATGTTCTTTTTCACTTTGTCGCGAATGTTTTTGATGATATAATATTCCATAGTTCCGGATAAGTTTCCCACAATCTAATGAATTCCTTTAAAGTCTCTTTATCATTTGGGGGAACATTTTCCACACTGTCCCGTCATAATTTTCGATCAGATCTTCGTCTTCCATTTTACAAAAATCAAAACAAACAATAATATTTGAGACATAGAAAACAACAATTTGATGCACTCATAGATAAATTATGTTAAACTAGAATATTGAAGTAAGGCCCGCACACACACAATAATATGACAATAACCCTGCCTCCCCCTGAATATTGACGGCAATTTCAGAATTTCCGGAAATCGCAATAATATTGAACAATACCGCAATACAGGCCGCACACACACAATATTATTGACAATACGATTTATTGTCAATATTATTGCGGTGTGCGGCTAGCCATGAAAGGGATCAATTTGTTTGACACATGAATTGCCTCTTTTCTATGAAAGAAAAATACAGGTTATTACAACAACTTTATAAAAGCTAATGTGGAATGCCTTCGCAAAAGTCTACAATTTATTCAATAAAAAATGGATCTCAAAAACAGCATACACGTTGTGTACAATTTGATTTTATTTTTATTTTCTGTTTCCTCACCAAATGTTAAATTCGAAATTAAGTCTAATTAGTTGTGATAAGAAACGGTTAATACGGTGTTAAATATTTTTAGTTACGTGTATACATCAAAAATAAAATAGTTCTATCACTACTTACGCTACACACTACGAATTATTTAATAAAACGGCTCCCATTTGGTGTCAGGGTTGTGGGTGATTGTTTTTCAGGACGTGTGTAATTGACCCGGTTTCTCGATCCCCTTGCATGTGAAATATAGGCGAGCGTCAAGATCGTTAAGAACACCGTTTTATGTTTCTAATGGCGAAAAGAAAAAAATCTGTTGAATCTATCGTACAAGAGCCATGAAATGCACTCTTCTTCAGTGGCGCCGCACAACTCCCTCCACTCTCTCTTGTCTTCTGCAAGCCTCTGCGCCAAGGTGATGGTAAGACATGTCAGGGCCTTCACTTGATGCGCCCTCCTCTCCTAAATCTATTCTATCCTAATAATTAATTTTAAACAATTTAAACAATATCTTTACATTACAATAATGTTACGCAAGATATTAAATTGCCTACGTCCAGTGCGTATTTGGCGTGCGCTGCGAAATATTATTTATGACAACATATATTTACGACGTTGAAATATAAAGTTCAATACAAAGGCATCAAATGTGTCTCCGGGAACATCTCCTCTCTATATTTCCGGGAAATTACCTTATCTTTGTCCTAAGTAGGTCAATATAAGCCTTAAATGATCGGCGACAGACACAGAATTGGGGCTCTTTACGGGACTTGTTACTAGTACTACCGTTCTCTTCA